GATCGTTGTATAGAGGGTCCACCTGTATGTGACTAATTTTTGAATTTTTTCCGTTGCATGAGTATAAAAAAAAAAGTTTCAGAAACTGCGAGGAAAAGTGGATGAGTGTACTTGAGTTCACTCCCGAGTCCGAGGGAAAGATTTAGCAGAAATTTATGGCATCGAACGCCTTTTCGGTAAACAACCGCTGGACCAACTTCTACTTTAACGGCTAAAAAAGTCGAGGGCCGACGCTAAGCTTATACTTGAACACCATTCGGTCGGCGTTAGTTTGTATCAGAAGCTAAAATGCGTACGGAATTCTTGACTTGGCATTTCCAGCGTAATTCAAGAGAATTTTAAATTCTCAAAATCACCCCGAATGTCTGAATGGTTGTTGATCTTCTGCATTTTATTTTAAAGACCTCCCCCGAAATTGAATACTATGTGATGGGCTGGAAAAATTGACAAGTATTGGAACACTCGCGAGCGTTTTATCATTGCAAGAGTTCTGAGTTACTTTTTTATTTTCCTGCACGTTCTCAGAAATTCCTCGTGTCTTGAATTTCTTGAATTCATCAATTTTCCGCTAGCTTTATTGAAGGTAGAAAGTTATCGTGCCACGTTTTGACGGGGAAAGTGCATGAGTTGTCAGCGGTCTGCTCAATTTCTTGAATGATTGAAGTTACGAAATGTCCAAGTCGGCGGAGAAAGTGTAGAACAATTTAATAAAATAAGTAAGCAATTTTTGAAGTACAGTACTAGAGTTGCAATTTATGTGCGCCCTGAAATCGATCACTCCCGAGTACTCGGAGCTTTTCATAAAACAAGATATCCTCGTAATCTCGTCCAACATTTGTTTTAGTTAGTACCTAGAATGATCCAAACGTCTAGAAAACGCCTCAAATTGCGCATGAACTTTCGACAGAATATCGATTGCTACTTCGGAATACATTTACCTTTTCACTGGGCCATCGCCATTTCGTGGTTTTAATGGTTGTATTGGATGCTCGATTTGATTGCTGAATGATTCCACGGTCTTCCCGCTACAAATCGGCATGGGAAGGAGGTCGAGACGATGGAGCGCGGATTTCCGTTCGCATAATTTGCGATCGAACGTCTTAATTAAACAGGTCAGCGGAATAAGTGCCGAAGTTGAGCACAGTACTCATATTTACGTTACGGGTTGGATATTTCAGTTGTACGACGCGAGGAAATTTTAGAGCCGAGCCAGCGGGTTATAAACTTTTTTTTTTATTCAACTGCGAAAAACGAAAATGCATTAGATTTGAATGCGAATCCTATGAAGTCGCTTTCATGCATTGCGTAAATTTTTCCATTGCTTGATCATAGAATTTCTTGACTTTATATTCACTTTTAATTCAAAAAATTGAATGTTTCGGATCGTGAGGATGTCAAAGTCTTGATGCTGAAAAGTCGTTTCTGCGTTGAAAATTTTAAATTCTCGCGTGTTTTTCCCACGTAATGACGGTAGCGTTTTCTAGCCTCAACTTCGGTCGAAATTCGAAGTAGTTTCTTTTTCCTGAATTTGAATGGATCCAAGTTTTGCGTCCTAAAATTTAGAAATGTTGACTTTGACTAAAGAACATTTGTTGCATGGATGTTGCCCTTGCGGAAGACCTTTTGCTCCATCGGGTGTGAAAATCCTAAATATTTGACTTAATCTTTAATTTCGAGAAAATTAAATGTCCGAATGTTCATAAATTATTTTGTTGCAAAATAATGGCGAATATATTTGTCCATTTCGTGTCCGTGGACGTTTGAAAGTGTTAGCTTGACGGAAAGCAAGTTTGCCAACTGATACGAAGCCTTACAATGGAAACTGGGTCGAGGAGTTTATGCTTTGGTTCGGGTCAATTGCGTTCTGTAGCCCGAGGAAGCGACTCGTTTGATGAAGATCCATTTTCCCTCTCCTCTTTCTTTCCTGCGAAAGACGACGTTAAAAGTTTTCAGTCTCCGAAACGTGAGCATATGGGCAGCAATTTTTCCTTTTCCCCCCTCCCTCCTTTCCCGGGTTCTCTTCTCTACGCTGGGTCGAGGCTGTGGGGTTGACACTTCATTAGATTTGTGTGCCAGCAGGTGCACTGATTCATTGGTGCAAGTTTGGAGCGGGTCGATAATTTAAACGCAGAGGTGTTTCATTGTCTAATGGCGCCCTGGTGTGCCTTGGAGTGATTAGGATGAGGACCGAAAGTTTCCCGTGTGCCTTTTGCCGCCGTCGGCAGAAACGAGTTCACGCCTGGAGGGCCCTTTTTTTCGTTTACTCTTCGTTTTTTTTTCCTTTTCTTTGTGCTGGTACGTCACATTGTGTTACATTTTGTTGTCCGGTTCCATCACCGTGACCACGGCGTCGCTGTAATGATGTGCGACACGTTTTTCTGTTGCACCGAAAAGGGGTTCCGCGCAAATCGCCGCACCAAAGGAAGGGGCGAATGTGAACTGGATATAAATTCTATGGGCGTCACGCGGCGGAGGACAAGGTTGGGGGTGTCCAGCCTCGGATTTCGTCGGTATAATCCGAGATAATTGGATTCTTGAATATATTTTTATTTTGCTGATACGAATACTTTTTTTTAAATTCGTGTTATGATACTTCGGGACATTTTGGCACGGATCCGATCGGTTATTCAAGAGTTTTTTCTTGGTATGAAGCTGTATGTACGTACTGTAGTTGACAAGTCGAAAGCCTGTTGATAATTCGCAAGATATTGGCTATTGTGACAAAGGAGCCTTTTCTATTATTGTACTGTGTTCGAAGAATTCACTTTCAAAAGTTGAATTTAAAACTTATTTTCACCAGTGATGGAGTACGTAGTCACCCTTCGAACCTGAATGCTAAATAAATAAATCCTTAGAAAATGGTCAAGTATTCCTTTTTTATATTTATTTTCATATTCTTTCAATAGAGAAAACTTGAGAGAAGGCAACAGCGGACTGACAAAACCCGAGAGCTAATCTCCATGTTTTTCCCCTATTAAGTACAGTAATGTGGTTACAGGCTGAATGAAAACCTATGTTCGCAAAACTTTTCCAACGGCTTAATTTCATTGCCATCTCATTGCTGCGATTAACCAAAAGTTCTAGCTAGGAATGAAGGAAGCACGAAACTTTTCCCCGAAATTTCCGAGTGTGCGGAAGTACTGGGACCGTTTCACGTAACTGAATTCGGGATTTGTCTCATGGAAACGAACTGGAATTAAAAATCATAAAATTTAGCTTTCACAATTGTGGACAATAAAATGCTGATGAGGACAGTACTTGATTTTTTAATTTTCATTTCGAGGCTCGTAAAGTTTCTATTTTTTAGTTTATTCCTTGATCGTGATTTTTCGGAAAGTAGCTTTCATGCAGGTCGCTTTTTTTTCGGTGCGGCGGGGATGCGAAGGATATCCATTCAGTTTTCCAGCAGAGCAGCTGCTGACCCTGTTTTTTTGTTTCCTTTGAAGCAAACCTTCAATTCATTTCTCGAAGCTGAGATAATGATAGCTTCGCCGGCAGACTTTGGATTTGTTACATTTTTGTTTCTTCTCCGTTTTTGGCAGCGCGCAATGTGCCTCAATCACTGCTACCGTTATCGTGATCGATGGCTGAGGAAATGGGTGCGCAATTTGTTACCGCGAGAATGTGCTAAAAACTTTCCGCGTTAAATGTGATCATACCTGAGTGACTTCGAATACGATGCCGTGCCTTCTCATTTCTGACCGCGAGCAGAACTCAATCATATTGATCCGTGATTTCGAACAATTTTCGAAATCGATTCCATTCGATGTTTTTTATTTTCATCCATGCGAATGAATGTGGAATTGGAAGTCGTTCATGCGAAATTAATCGAGCTGCGTTTGCCTGACGAACACATGCGATTGACCCATGATTTTCAGCTGTAGTAATTAACAGAGTTGATGACCTGGTGAGCAATTATGATGGTTAAAGTATCAGTCGCTTACGCACACGTTTTATAAAAAAATATCAATTTATTAGTTGAAGTTTCAAAGAAGAGGATTTTGTCATGGAAATTCTGGTGGGCTGCTGGAAAATGTCGCTTTACTGGTTCCTTATTTTACCAGAAAGGCATACCGTATTTTGCTTCTGCTCCTTTTCAGTAATCGTCGCAGAGTAGCTCTTTGTTGACGCGTTTTTGAATATTGTATCCGTGACCTGCTGATCATCATCGTGATTTCTATGTATTGTATGCCCAGTTTAACGGAAACGTGATGAAAAATAAACCAGGCCACTGGTGTATCAAAGTTGCTGCTTCTAAAGGTGCTGCATTTTCCTTTGGGAGTGGGAATGAATCGAGCCGGAGAATCTGCTATCACAGCACTGAAAGCCGTGATCAGCAGCTGGTGACAGATGGCAAGGCAATTTGATACGCCTGGGGACAAATACCGGGATTTTTGCAACAAACCCCCCCCCCCTTCCTCTCAGGAAAGTTGACACAGGGAACATGACAAGAACCCTGTGGGCGAGGGAGAAGTTCCCTAATCCATCGAGAACTAGTGTTACAGTACTTTCAATTTTAACTCAATGCAGATATCAGGCATTCGTTGTTTGCAGATAAAACGAAAGCATGTTGTGGACTGGTGTTGAACTCTCTATACAGCGATTTTCGTTGTACGATAAATTTATTTGGTTGCCAAAATGGTCTCTACCCATATTACAGAGGTTCTCAAAAAAAAAAAGAAAAAATTTTTGGTATCTTGAATTTCGTTTTCGTGACAGTCCACCTGTACATCGCAGGACCCGTCGAAAAGTGGGTCGCTTTTGGAATGCTTTCTTCTCTCACGTTCCCATCAACGCAAATTTCGTTTTATTATTCGGCCACGAGCGCAGGAAGCATCTTGGGTACTCTTCGAGAATCGCACCGACTACGAAAGAGATGGTGTTGAAAGAAAAAGGGGGGCTTTACGTCAGAGTGGAATGAGGTAAAGAATCTGAAGATGCCGAACTCGGTTTTTGTTTTTTCTTATTTCCTCCCTCCCTCAGTGTCAGTTGCCGGTAAGATGCTGGAGGGAAATGGAGAAGATTTATGCGTGTCGGCATCGGGTCAGAAGCGATAACGCGTCGTCGGCGTGATTTATCGAACCCGGGTTCACGGGGTACCGATCTCCTATCGATCCCCCCCATGGTATTTCCAGGGACAAGTTCCAGTTTCGCGCGGGAGTGATATCTGTGGAACCGTCGAGTTTGAATTGATTTTCCAACTCTTTCACGGGTGTTAACAGGATAACAAGCATATAAACCGTCTCAGAAAATTCGGAGGTTGAAATTTTCTGTTCCTGAGGGGGTGTTGGGATTATGCTCGTTTATTCTCTTGTCAACCGAATAATTTTTTATCCTTCAAAGATTGCGAATGAAAATTGCTCGTGGTCACAATTTATTTGACTTCGCTTGCATGTCGTGCCGAATATTTCATGGCTGTTGAGCGTGTAACATCCACAGAAGAACCGTTTCAAAGCCGCAGGATATCGATAAATTTGTGAAATACGATGAACTTTTCGAAAGTCGTTTGTGGCAACCGGCAGCCTTGTATTGTTCACGGATGCATTTTGATCAGTTTTTAAATCTTACGAACGACATTCAATTAATTAAAAAGCAAGAGAATGAGTTGAATTCAACATGATTTAAGGAATCCCGAATGTCAATTTATGGGGACCGATTACTGTAAAGGAAAAAGTTTCCGACAAAAGATGGGGATCGGAAATGCTTCGAAAATATCAAGTAAAACAAAGAATGTTTCAAAGGGTTTACAGCTGCTTTCTTCAGCAGCTGCATTTATTTAAATTACAAGACTTTAATTTTTTTTACCATCAACGGAGAAATAAATGACAATAATTTCCATTTAAATATTTTCGAAGAATTTTTCGAAAATCACTTGGAACCAGTCATTATGTTTGATATTTTGTCTCTGAGAAGTTGAAAGAAATTTGGTGGTGTTTTCTTACTGCCATTATTCAGGAAAGGCGAAAAAAAATCAGCGACCTTCACTTCTCGTGTTTAATTGGACGGTATTTGCCAGCTATTAGAAAAAAGCAGGTGAAATTTGTTCATTATGTTTCATTTGAATGCAAAAACGTTTTGTAGGCGAATCGCAAGACTTCTCAGGAATCCCTCATAACGGAGACGAGAAAACGTTTGGGAAAGCGCTTCAAGCACTTCCGTGGTAATTCGAGCGAAAATTGCGTTTCGATTCTCTTTTCATCGGACGACAATATGCACCTCGAACATTTTTTCCCCAATTTATAAATTTTTCGGCGGTGAAAGCCCCCACCAGTTGAGCGCTTCCGGTGGAAAAATCCGAAGTGGTTTTCGTGCTGCCTATTTGTGGTCATGAAAACGCTCGACAAAACCATTTCACCTCGGCAGCTTTTTTTTTTGTTTTTTACCAAGGAAATACTGTACTGTGCAAAATCATGGGATATATTTGTTTTTTGGTTCAGTGCGGCAAATTGGAATTTCCTCATTCTGCTGCGCTAACTCGGTTCTCTTAATTCCGAAAAATATAACATTCCTGATCACGTACTTTATGCAGGTATTAATTTTCCCACTGTTTCGTGTCTCTGGAAGTACTCATTAATATTTCCAGTGGTCGAAACGTCGCTGTTTTTTAAGGTAAAAAATCAAGTTTTCAAGGTATTTTTATGAAAGCCTCATGATGACAGCGAATGAGGAGCTTTTCGTGGTTGTTTCTGATTGACTAGGGAAAACACTGTCCAGACAATCCGGTCGTTTTAAAAAACTGTTGTGTAATTATTTATATGCTCGCCTCAAAAATTGCCTGAAGGAATTTACAGCTCACTTTCGTGCGTTTCATTATCACGAAGCCTAGGGAAGATTACCGCGTGAAAAAAAAGAACGCTTTGAAACACGTTTTTCGTCGACGGGCTTTTTCGCGGTGATGGATCACGTGCATGGAGGACGTTGAGTTGCGGGAAGCATTTTTATTGGACATGTGTACTCTCTGGTTTTGAGAATGAAAAATTTTTTCCACGGCTCACATTTTTCCGGTTTTTGTTTAAAGGTTGGAACATTAAGGAAAAAAATATAGGCTTCATTTGGCACTCGAGGGGCGAGTTATGTTGGGACTTTCGTGGTGAAATTTTTTGACAAGGATTCGGCTTTCTCGGTTTTGGGGGCGAAAGTGTTCGCCTCGCGTTTTTCTCACCCACAATTGTCACGTGAGATGGTCATTTTATGAGGCAATTTTTTTTTTCAAGGGTTTTCTAAGGTTCCTCTTTTTTCTAGCTGGAAGGCTTCCGTGTCTTGCCGTTTGGGTATCGTATGTGGAAATAATTTATCCTATGGTCTTTGTTTTTCCAGTAACACTGCTGGACACGACAAAGGAGGACACGCTGAATTGGACGAAGTATCCGTTTGGACCTCAAAGCACCACGCCGGGGGTGAGTCGAGCAATTTTCTCTCTATGTGTTTCGATTTCGGTAGAAATTAGAAATTGAGGGCGTAGGAATGGTTCGCAATCTTTCTCTAGTGAAACGAATTGATACAAAGTTCTTTCGGTACTCAAGTTTCTGACTTGGAAATTCTCCAAACCAATGCGGGATCAATAAGGATATACAAAAAGCAACGCTTCGTTCTTTCCCTGAACACTTCGATTGCGATTGTTGAACAGCCTTCACATTTAGCGTCATTGAGGCAAACATTACCGAAATTGGAATAATGTTATCTAGAATGCACGGCTTTCCGGCCTCAGGCATTGTTACTGACAAACTTCTTTAGTTATTTAGAATACTTTTATATGTTTTTGTTGCTCGTGGACCGCGAAGTCATTAGGCGTGATATGCCTCGAACGCACTACTTTTCAAAGAATTTTCCTATATTTATGATCAAGATCAACAGACCCCGCAGGTAGTCGTGTAAACGAGAAGAGAAAAAAAAACGGATTCAAGGCTTCTTTTGTTCCTCCCGTTTGTCCGGAGGGTTCTTATTTTACAATCAACAATACGTTGCTGAAAAGAGCCGAGTGTATTCCGAATGCAATGCATATTTTTCGGTTTTCCTCGAGACTTTCGCAAAAGCCGTGACATCCTCCATAGTAAGTACCTCAGACGCTGATGTTTGTGGAGCAAACGCTCTGTGTGAAGAAGGGGACTTTCGGTGCAGGGCAGCAGCAGCTTTGTCCGGCTATGGGCAAGTATTTGCCCATGGACGACGTTTTGAGATTGTCGCTTGCGCTTATTCCGGCCTTTGTTTAATTAATTTATTTTTTTGTGTATGTGTGGTCAGGGAGACAGAGAAGTAGGGAAATAGGAAGTGGAGTTTGTCCCTCCCACGGTTTCGGACATGCGCGGCGAGGAAACATGCGGAGTCATCTGCGAGATATGAACCCGTACAAAGTACATGGGTTCCCCGTTTATTCTGTCCTTTCGAGGCGTCGTTAGTTGAGAGGGGAGCTCACCCATGTCTAGGGGAAGAAAACGCCCGACTGTCTTATTGTCCGTCTACTTACTAACGCTGGTGTACAACCTTCCTCACAGAGAATTGAATGATACCCGCTTATTCGGAAAATGCGATTGTCTTGACTCTTTCGTATCGGAAGCAAAGCTGATTGTTTTTTTTTACCTAGTACTCTACTACTCGAGATGAGTTGCTTCATTTCTCCAAAATTAGACACGTTTTCTAAAATTACGCTGTTCCAATATTTGAAGGAATCCGAGAATCGTCAATTCGAGCCAATCGTGAGCATTTTTTAATATCTTATCGAATAAAATTTCCCGACACCGTTTGAACATCCGTGGTACGGAATTGTATTTTTAATTTTTATGTCGAGTTTTTTGGGAAGAAAATATGCATTTCTGAAATTATGGGAAGCGTTCAATCGTTAGAGTTGTTAGACAAAAAATCCCAATGAAAAACTCTGATTGCGGCCGATAATCGCGATATTTAAAGCTAGGTCACAGTGAGCTCGATACTTATTCCAGATAATGGAACATCCCGAAAATTATGAGGAAAGTAATCTGAACGTGGGGAAAGCATACGTTGATCATTTCAAGGTTTATGCAATTTTTGACCAAGTCTATATTACAGTACGTTTTTAATTTCTATGTATTTTCAATGTATTAGCGTGCATTTTCCTTTTGAAATTTCTTCTGTCTCCAAAACAATTTTTCCGTGGCTGTTTCTGGTTCATTATTCTGTCTCAAAATCGAAGGTTGGCCACCCCTGGTCGAACTAGCACACCCCCTGACCTGCACCAAGTCACATGTCGCCTGTACAGTTTAAACGAATAATGCCTTAGAATTTCCCGTATATTTTCCTCCCACTTCTAAAAATCTGGAAACTAAAAGAGAGAATTTTGCAATGCATTCTACTTATTTTTTTTATGAATAGAGGACTTCATGTGCACGAACTTCTCAGAATAATTCGGACGGCTCCTAAACTTATTTGCAGCAAATGAAAAAAGTCAGGATTTATGTCCGATCAATGTGACTGAAGTGCGACAAATGAGTCTATTTTTCTTAAAGATTAATGTAAGGGAATATTTGCTATAAATAACTCTTTTCCTTTGAGTCACGTAAGAATTAAACTGTAACTTGAGTGTCTTTAATGCTAGCATTTCTTTTGATCAATAATTGATTATTCTCGTCGCGTATCTCCAGTCTGGGAAATCTTTTTTTTCCGCTCTTTCCCTAAAATCATTACTTGAGAGCACGGCGTCTGTGTAACGCAGATCTGGCGGGTGCCATGAATGAATGAGCGAATGCATGCCAGGAATTTCCCTTAGAATCATTCTGGCGTGAAAGGGGAGAGGGTGGTGGTGATTTCTTCCGATCGACCCCTTCAGCCTTTCATCACCTTTCCATGGATCGAAACGAAACCCATCGCGACTCTTTCAGACTGACTGCGTGGAAACGTGATCCCTGCAAAGCACGACACACACACACACACACCCGGGGTCCTCGGCTGGATGCGCCCGTGTCGAGATGCGCGCGATAACTATCCAGAGTGCTGGTGGTTGGGGAGGAAAAATAAAAAGGGAGATGGCATGCCCGAGTCGATTATTTAACGTAACTCTTGCGCGGAATAAATCAAACGGACTTCGTGTGTGTGCTTGGGCTTGTGTCTGTGTGTGTGTATGTGTGTATGGGGGACGGGAAGGTAAGGGGGCAAAGCCTTTTAAATCCATCTCTGCTGGGACCCAGCGCGAACTAGATGGTGCACGTGAGATCGGGTGTGATGGGGTAAACGACCACGCGTGTGTCTGCCACTCGGGGCAAGGCGACATCGGGGAAATCGAGTTTTTTTTTTTTATTTGACTCCTGACTAGCCATTGGTATTCATTTCAAAACACATATGGAAAAAAAACAGCAAATCTTGATCACGTTCGGCAGAGGTGTTCTGAACCGGTGCTCCGCGGAGCCCCTAGGGCCTAGAGCTTTCACGAGAATCATCGAGAGGCTTCGTGATCCTTTTTTAGAAAAGAATCGCGGAATGGACTGAAAAAGAACTAAACGTAGAGAAAATATTGACGTTAGTGTATGAAGATAGATGCAATGATATGGAGATTCTTCAAAGAAAAAAAATCGAAGATTTCGTCGTAGAAATTGTTTCTAAAATAGGCTCCGGAAGTCAAAAATCTTCAGATGGTCTGAAAACCTCTACAGTACAAAATTTCTACGAGTTCGTGATGGTCCGCAAAGCTCAGGAATGGAATTCTGTGCAGAGGCCTTCATGGAATTTATGTTGTTCATTGTCGGCAAAAATCGAAGGCAGCACCTCTATAAGTGACATTCTTCAAGCCAGTGCGACACTTGGGATACGAATTTTTTGAATATATACCACTCGAGCAGCGCTATTGGTGTGCAAAAAAAAATGACAGCCAGCACCTACAGTCGCGAATGCGTGAACTTCCAGTCTGAAACCAGTTCAACCAACACCTCGGATGGGACCAGGTGGTAACTCAGGTGGCGGATTCGAGTCGTAACCCCAACCTGACAGTTTCTCAGCAACCAATTGGCCGTTCACCGTCACGTCTCGGTTTTTTGTTTTGTTTTTTCAAAGTATAAAATAAAAATGAAGTAAAATGAGAAGACCAAAAAATAACCTCGCCTGGGAAGCGTTTTTTCCGAAGAGTCACGCACCTCGCGGGATTGTCCCGTCGGTCGAGGCACCCAGGGGCATCAATCCAGATAGAAATCTCGGTCCGCTGTCCCATCCACGTTTTTCGGCGGAAATCTCGGATGTACGTAGGGGGAGACCCGATGTGTATGTGTCTGACCGTGGGGGCCGACGACGAGATGCATGTGGAACGAAGACCGGGAAGAAAAATATTTTGCAGCACTTATCCGGGAGCAAACAACCCAGTGTGCCACCCACTGCGACTGAATGCCCTCGGTTAAACAGGTAGAAGGGAAGAGAGAGAGAAAAAGGGGAAAGAGAGACAGAGGGAGATTTTTGCGCATGCATTCTTCGCAATAGGAAAAAAAAAAAAAAGAACAGTAGAGGGATTCGGCCAGAATCTAATCGTCTGAGCAAACACGTTTCGCGATGCGGAAAATTCCTTCTTGTTCTTGCCTAACATGCGTGCATGCGATTTTTTACCTGTCCTCAGCCTCCTCGACAAGAATCAAGTCCGCGAAAAAAATATGAAGAGAAAATCAGCGATTGATTGAAC